TCACACACGGGTTTCTGTGTGTGTAACTAATACAGGTGCATTACAGTTCCCCAAACTCATGCTTATGTACTAAACACTCCCACAACTTCTTGCACATATTTAAATTACTTCTCAGATCTCCTTTACATCAGAGTAGGGGTCTCTTGAGGGTTTTTGGTGGCCCTTTGGGGAACATCCCTTCTTCAAATTACCCTTCTTTGGTCACAGGCCTCAAAAAACAGTTTCTTCTTCTGGAATGCTTCCCAGCTCCATGGGCTGGCCAAGATACTCCTTCTTATCAGTGGTGCCCAGGCCCACATGGTTTAGTCTCAGGACTAAGATATCCACCCGAATGCAGCCGTGGGTGGATACAGGACTAAGCCCTGTCTGGTCCCACTGAAGGAATTCTCAAGACTTCAACACTAATTGTTGAAATTCAAGATTTTCCCAACATTTCCCCCCTTCTGACACTTGTTGAAATTTCCAGCAAGTCTCCCTGATAAGCTTTATAATACTTTGAGTTACAAACAGTTCACAGAAATGCAGGAAAGACAATAATCACTGTCACCACAGTCCCTGTAATTCCTCTGACCCACTGAGAGGGGCCTGGAAACCAAGATGATCTTTCCCAACAACTCCCCAGATCCTCAGGAAGTCTCGTCCTTTTGTACTTCATGTCAGACTCTGCCTTGTTCCCAGAAGGTCCAGATTAGTCCCTGCTCCCCGAGTTTGATCTCTGCACACACAGGGACAACTGTTTGTTGTGGCACCGGCCCCGAGAGGCAACAGCAGATCTAAAGGCACTGGTTCTGAGCTGGGATCTGCCCCATTTCTGACACTTCCTTTTGTGTTGTCCACAGAGCACTTGCAGTTTGATTTCCAGCTGTTTTGCCTTCTGATTCCCCCGTGCTCTGGGGGAGTGGGAGCTGGGGCAGGGACAGACTGGGACAGACTGGGATGGACTGGGACAGATTGGGATGGACTGGGACAGACTGGGGTAGACTGGGACACTGGGATACATCGGGACCAGGACCCAGCAGGACCCCCCAGGAGCAGCATCAGATCACACTAGGACCCTCCAGGATCAGAACTGGGGCAACAGGGATCATACTGGGAGGAACTGGGACCACACCCAGAGCTACTGGGAGCAACTGAGGGCCACATAGAATATACTGGAAGTGGCTTGGAGTCACTGAGATCATACTGGTGGAAATTGTAACCTTACTGGGGCAAGGGGAGAGACTGGGAAGGACTACGAGCATGCTGAGGGCTCTACTGGGATATACTGGGAGTGTCTGTAACCATAGTGGGGGTGACTGGAACCACACTGGGAGCGACTGGGACTGCGTGAAGGGGAATTAGGACCAGGTTGGGGGCAACTGGGAGGAACTGTGAGAGACTGGATCTACAATAGAAGCAACTGGGATTGACTGGGACTGTCAGGAGGGAAGAGCAGGATCCTACCTGGAGTGACTGGATCTGTGCTGGGGCAACTGGGAGCAACTGGGGCTATGCTGGGGGCAACTGGGATCATACTGGGATCACAGTGGAAGCAGCTTGGCATATGCTGGGGGCAACTAAGACCACAGTGAGGGTGACTGAGGTCATACTGGGAGTGACTGGGAGCATGCTGGGGGTGACTGGAATCATGTTGGAGCAACTGGGATATACTGGGAGCAAGTGGGATCATGCTGGAGGTGATTGGGATCATACTGGGAGCTACTGGGAGTGCACTGGAGGTGACTGGAAGTGGCTGTGAGCAACTGGGATCATGCTGGAAGCTACTGGGGCCAACTGGGAATGAGTGGGACCACATTGAGGGAAACTGGGAGCAACTGGGAGAGACCAGGAGTGACTGGAGTCATACTTGGACTGAGTGGGAGCATGCTGAGGGTGACTGGGATATACTGGGAGAGACTGGGAGTGACAGGAATCATCCTGGGAGTGACTGGAACCACCCTGGGTGACTGCGAGAAACTGGGGCCATGCTAGGGGCAAATGGCATCTTAATGAGAGTGACTGGGAGTGAGGGGGTTCATACTGGAGTGACTGGGACCATATAGGGAGTGTCTGGGCTCATGCTGGAATCCTAATGGAATGGACTGGGAGTGACTGGAGCCATACTGGGGGTGACTGGGAACAAGTGGGACCATAGTGGAAGTGATTCCTACTGGGAGTGACTGGGATGGTAATGGGAGTGATTGGGATATACTGGGATCACACTGCTGGTGACTGGAACCATACTAGGAGTGGCTGGAACTCTACTGGGGTGACTGGGAGTGACTGGGACCATGCAGGGGGTAATTTGGATCCTACTAGGAGAGACTGGTATTGTACTGGCAGTGACTGGGATCATGCTGGGAGTGACTGGGCCCATGCTGGAAGTGACCTGGGCCCCACTGGGCAGAACTGGGTGGCTCTGGCCCAGCTGGGGCTCAGGGTTGTTCTCCCCCAGGGCCCCTCGGGCCCAGCCGGGGTCGCAGTTCTGAGCCAGGGCCGAGCAGGGACCCCCCTGTGCATTCTGGCGGCTGCCGAGGGGCTGTCACGGCTCAGGGGCTGTCACGGCTCAGGGGCTGCCCCGGGCCGGGGCTTTGCTGCAGAGTTTGGGATGAAACCCAACAAGCTGGGCCGGGGGGGCAGCCCTGGCAAGCAGGGCTTTGCTGCCGCGGCTCTGCAGGGGCTTCCCACGGGCTCTCGGCTCCTTTGGGCATCCCCTGCTCCGGCCTGGGCTCCTCCCCGGGCTGCAGGGGGGTCTCTGCTCCGTGCCGGGCTCAGCCTCGGCTCCCAGAGCCTGCAACTCAGGCTCCCCCGGAGCTGCAGCCGGCTCAGGGCAGCAGCGACTGCCGGCTCTGCCGCCAGCCCGGGCACACGGCCAGGGCTGGCACTGCTAAAGCAGCGGCTCCGGGCACACGGCCAGGGCCGGCACTGCTAAAGCAGCGGCTCCGGGCACACGGCCAGGGCTGGCACTGCTAAAGCAGCGGCTCCGGGCACACGGACAGGGCTGTTTCCCGCAAAGCGCTGCCATTCTGTGCCCAGGCGGGCGGGCACTCGGGCAGGCGGTGCCGGAGCTCGGACGCGGCCCCGGCGCGGCTGGAGGGGGCAGGAGGGGGGTCCGGCGGGTTTGTCTCGCCCTGTCCCCTCCGCAGGGGCCGCGCAGGGAGCGGCTGCCCGCGGGCTCCTCCTTCCCGCGGAGCCCCAGGGCTGAATCACTCTTTTCTTTTCAGAAAAAAATTGAAAATTCCTGTTGACTGGTTGGATTCCCTCTCGTTTGGTCACTGCAGAAAAAACCCCTTTGAGTCACTCCCTCAGGCACCTGTGGACTCATTGCTCTTCCCTGGGAACTCTTTGCAGCTGCCAGTGCCCCTCCAGCAGCATCCACATTCTTTGCCAGTGGATTCTTGTCCTGTTTCTTTGGGTTCTTTCCTTACAAATATTCCACAAATTGTTCTCTGGGGTCAGTTTTGCTTTGCTGAACCTGTTAATTTTTACCTTTGCCTTGGGGAATAGTGCATGGCCAGGGAAAGGCTGGGCAGGGAAAGAGTTTAGGAAAACCCATGAGCCAGGTGGGAGGTTGGAGCAGCGACAAGAGGAGCAAGCAAAGGCTGGGACAGAAACAGGGACCAAAAACCAGCCCTGGGGAGAGGGACAGGGTTAGAAAAAGGCTGTGACTGCCTGGGGGGGAGTTTGGGGGATTATCAGCTCTTGGTGGGTTTCTGTTTGGACCATGAGGTGTCCTGGCAAAGCCCCAGGAGGGAGCAGGACGTGCCCAGGCCCGGTAGCTTAGGTTGTTGTCCCAGATCAGCTGGTGGGTGGCAGGAGGAGCTGAGGGTGCCCCTGTCCCCTCTGTGCCCCCCAGGGGTGGCAAAAGTCCCTCGGGAGGCAGGTCCATCCCCTGTCCCAGGGGCTCCACGAGCTGCCCCCCCGTATCCCTCCGTGTCCCACTCTTCCCTCCCACCCCGTGTCCCCTCCACCCCGTGACCCCCCCGGGGTCCCCCCCGTGTCTTTCCGTGTCCCCCCCGCCTCTGTCAAAGAATTTTCTCCATCAACACCATGAGCTCACTGCGGGGGAGGGAAGGGCATTGAGGTGCTCACCTGGAGGGGAAGGAGGGAGGGGGAGGGGCCCCATTGTGGGGGGAGGAACGGGGGTCCCAGCTCCGCCCCCGCTCTGGTTGTTGATTGATCCACTGATTTATCGATTCGTTGATTTATCGATTCGCTGATTTATTGATTCACTGATTTATGGATCGGTTTCACACGTGGGTCGCTGTGTGTCACCAATGTCCCCATCCCTGTCCTCAGTGTTCCCACTCTTTCCATCCCAGCTCCGGGTGTCCTCATGTCACCTCTCAGTGTCCCCATCCCTGTCCCTGCTGTCCCCATCCCTGTCCCCAGTGTCCTCGACCCACCTCAGTGTCCCCATCCCTGTCCCCAGTGTCCCCGACCCACCTCTGTGTCTCCAGCTGGCCCCCAGTGCCCCCAGTGTCCCCATCCCAACTCAGTGTCATCATCCCTATCCCTGGTGGCCCCATCCCTAATCCCACTGTCCCTATGCCACCTCAGTGTCCCCAACCTATCTGCAGTGACTCCCTCCCTGTCCCCAGTGTCCCCAGGGTCCCCCTCCCCATCTCCAGTGTTCCCAGCATCCCCATCCTTGCCCCTGATGTCCCCGTCCCCGGTGTCACTACCCCCAGTGTCCCCATCCCTAATCCGTGCCCCTGTTCCACCTCAGTGTCCCCCACCCCTACCTGTCCCCAGCGTCCCCATCCCCGGTGTCCTCATCCCCGGTGTCCCTGGTGTCCCCAGAGTCCCCCTCCCCACCCCCGGTGTCCCCAGCGTCCCCAGTGTCCCCCTCCCTGTCTCCGGTGTCCCCAGAGTCCCCCTCCCCTCCCCATCCCCAGTTTCCCCGCCGTCCCCCGCAGTGTCCCAGGGGGGTGTCCCCAGCTCCGCGGGCCCCCCCAGCTCCCGCAGCCGCCCCCCCTCCAGCAGGGCCACCCTGGGTGCCCGCCGGGCCAGGGCCACCTGCCCTGTCACCAACAGCACCGCCGGCCCCTCCCCCGCCCCGGGACCGCCGAGACGCAGCAGCTCCTGCTCCACCTGCGGGGACACGGGGGGGACACGGCGGGGTCAGGGGACACGGGGGAGCTCAGGGGCAGTGGGGGGACCCCGGGGTCGGGGGAGACATGGCGGTGTCAGGGGACCCCTGGGTGGGGGGACACTGGGGGGACACAGGTGGGGATCTGGGGAGTGGGGACCCAGGGGACAGGGGGACACGGAGATCCATGGGACATGGGAGACCCAGGGGACAGGGGGACATGGGGACCCAGGGGATAGGGGGACATGGGGAGTGGGGACACAGGGACCGTGGGGGATGTGGGGACCCGGGGAACGTGGGGACATGGCATCCAAGGGACACGGACTCATAGGACACTGGCATTTGGGACCCAGGGGACATGGGGGACGTGGAGGGGAAGTGGGGACTTGGGGGGACAGGGATGTAGGGGATGTGGTGACCCAGGGGACCCCCGGGGGATGTGAGGGGCAGTGACCAAGGGGACACGGGGACCCAGGGGACACGGGGACAGCGCTGTGACCCACCTGGCGCCGGGTCACGGGGTCGAGTGCCCGTGTGGGCTCGTCCAGCACCAGCAGGCGGGGGGTCCTGAGCAGGGCCCGGGCCAGGGCCACCCCCTGCGCCTGTCCCCCCGAGAGCTGCATCCCCCGCGGGCCCACCTCTGGGGACACAGGGGACACACTGGGGACACCGTGGGGACACGCTGGGGACATGCTGGGGACAGGCTGGGGACACGCCGGGGAGCCGAACCCACCCTGCACCCACCTTTGGGGACAGGGAGGGGGCAGGGAGGGGACACCGTGGGGACAGTGTGGGAATGATGAGGGGACACTACAGGGATGATGAGGGGACGTTATGGGGACACAGTGGGGACACACTGGGGACACTACGGGGATGGTGAGAGGACACCACAGGGACAGCAAGGGAACAGGGAGGGGAGGGGACAGAGTGGGATGTGGTGAGGAGGCTTTGGGGACGTCACAGGGACAACCTTGGGGACGGTGAGAGGACATTACGGGGACACCCTGGGGACACCTTGGGGACACCACAGGGACGTGGCGGGGACACCGGGGGGACACCCGTGTCTTACCTGTGTCATAGCCATGTGGCAGCCGCGTGGCCCAGGCGTGCACCCCCACCCGCCGTGCCGCCGCCGTCACTCGTGTCACCTGTGTCACCTGCGTCCCCTCCCCGTGTCCCCAGCCCAGCGTGATGTTGGCACGGAGGGAGCGGGACAGGAGGGATGGGGATTGCGGGACACCGGCCACCTGTGGGGACAGGGGACACAGGGGCTGCGGGGGCGTGGGGACAGGGGGAACATCGGGACGGGGGTGACACGGTGGTAGGAACAAGGAGGGAATGTCTGGGGACACAGAGGGGGCCATGGGGACCTGCTGGGGACACAGCGGTGACCCAGGGGTGGCAGCAGAGGACACTGGGGGTGGCCGTGGGGACCCGTGAGGGACAGAGGGTGACGTGGTGGTGACCACGGTGACACAGGGGGAGCCACTGGTGACCCTGGGGTGAAACTGGGGACTCGTTGGGAACCCACTGGAGACCTGGGGGTGGCCACGGAGACCCGCTGGTGACCCACTGATGACCCCGGGGTGGCCCAGGGGACATGTGGGTGATGCAGGGGTGGCCGTGAGAACCTGCTGGGGACCCAGGGGTGACCCAGGGTGGCCCAGGGGACATGTGGGTGACGTAGGGGTGGCCATGGGGACCCGCTGGCGACCCACTGATGACCCCGGGGTGGCCCAGGGGACATGTGGGTGACGCAGGGGTGGCTGTGGGAACCTGCTGAGGACCCAGGGGTGACCCAGGGTGGCCCAGGGGACATGTGGGTGATGCAGGGGTGGCTGTGGGAACCTGCTGGGGACCCAGAGGTGACCCGAGCACAGCACTGGGAGCCTGGGGGGTGAGTCAGGGGTGGCCCGGGGTGTCATCTTGTCACTGCAAGGCAGGACCTGCACAGGGGGGCTCAGGGGGTGTTTGGTGACAAGGGGTGGCAGTGGGGACCCAGGGTTGGCAGTGGGGACCCGGGGGTGACCTGGGGGTGGCCATAGCGACCCGGGGGTGACCTGGGGGTGGCCATAGTGACCTGGGGGTGTCACCTGTCTCCGCAGGGCGGGGTCAGCGCGGGGGCCCAGGGGGTCCCCGTCCAGCAGCACCGCCCCGGCCGCCAGAGGGCGCACTCCCAGCGCGGCCAACGCCAGGGAGCTCTTCCCGCCGCCAGGGGGCGCCAGCACCGCCACGAGCTCCCTGGGACGCACGGACAGAGACACCCCCTGGTGGCGGGAATGGGATGGGATTGGGATCAGGATCGGGAATGGGATCGAACTGGGAATGGGATCAGACCAGGAACGGGATCAGAATCAGACTGGGAATGGGAACAGCATAGGGAATGGGAACGGGAATGGGAATGGGAATGGGAATGGGAACAGCAGGAGAGGGGACGGGACCGGACTGGGAACGGGAATGAGAACGGGAATGGGACCGGGAACGGGAATGGGAACAGGATCGGACCGGGAATGGGAACGGAAACGGGAATGGGAATGGGAACGGGATCGGACTGGGAATGGGAATGAGAACAGGAATGAGAATGGGAAAGGGAATGAGAATGGCATAGGGATGGGATCAAACTGGGAATGGGAACGGGATCGTACCAAGAATGGGAACAAAATTGGGATTGAACCGGGAATGGGAACAGACGAGGAGTGGGATTGGGATCGCACCGGGAATGGGAACGGCATGAGAGGGGATGGGATCGAACCGAGAATGGGAATGGGATCGTACTGGGAATTGGAACGTACTGGGAATGGGATTGGGAATGGCGGGAGAGGGGATGGAACTGGGAATAGGATCGTACTGGGAATGGGAATGGGATTGTACAGGAATGGGAACAGGATCGCACTGGGAGTGGGATTGGGATTGGGATTGTACCAGGAATGGGAACGGAATTGTACTGGGAATGGGATTGGGATCACACTGGGAATGGGAACATGGGAGAGGGGATGGGATGGAAATGGGAATGGGAATGGCAGGAGAAGGTATGGGATGGAGCCAGGAACGGGATTGGGATGGAACCAGGAATGGGAATGGCGGGAACAGCAGGAGAGGGGATGGGGATGATACTGGGAATGGGATGGGGATGGCACCAGGAATGGGATTGGGATCATACCGGGAATGGGAACGACGGGAGAGGGGATGGGGATCGCACCAGGAATGGGAACAGCAGGAACAGGGATTGCATCAGAAATGGGGATCACACCAGGATCAATGGGAGAGGGGACGGCCATGGGAACAATGGGAGATCGCAGTGGGAATGGCAACCTCCCTGGGAATAACGGGGATCACACTGGGAATAACGGGGACCACACTGGGAACAAAGAGGATCTCACTGGGAATAATGGGGATCACACTGGGAATAATGGGGATCACACTGGGAATAATGGGGATCACACTGGGAACAAAGGGGATCACACCAGGACAGGGATTGCACCAGAAGAGAGGATCCCACTTGGAATGGGAGAGCACCAGGATAGGGGATGGCACCAGCACTTCCATGTGAACCCCATCCCTGTGTCCCCAGGCTGTCCCCCCACATCCCCCCTATCCCCACTGTGTCCCCCCATATCCCTACTCTGTCCCCATGTGCCCCCACACCCCCATGTCCCATCCATGTCCCCCCATGTCCCCATGTCACCTCCCACACCCCCCATGTCCCATCCATGTCCCCCTATTTCCCTCACCTCCCCTCCATGTCCTGTGTCCCTCATCTCCCCCATTTCCTTAACACCTCCACATCCTCTCGTGCCCCCCATGTCCCTCATCTCCCCATCTCCCCTCCATGTCCCATGTCCCCCATCTCCCCCATCTTCCACATCCCTTCGTATCCCCCCCACATCCCCATGTCCCATCCGTGTCCCCTCATGTCCCATCCATGTCCCCATGTCCCCTCATGTCCCCTCCATGTCCCATCCATGTCCCCCCACATCCCCATGTCCCCCCATGTCCCCACATCCCCTCGTGTCCCCCCATGTCCCCCCACGCCCCCCCCCCCCTTGTGTCACCTTGAGGATAGGCTCTGCCCGCCCGGGGTAGGTCATGGAGACGTTCTCCAGACGCAGTCCCGGCGTCCCAGAGCCCTTCTGGCCCCCGGGGGTGACAGGGGATGGTGTCCCCAGTGCTGCCACCTCCTTGGCCTCGTCCAGCAGCTCCAGGAGCATCTCAGAGGAGCCAACGGCCTTGGCCAGAACCGGGAGGTGCAACAGCAGCAACTGGGGACATGGGGACATCGGGGGGCTTGGAGGGACATGGGGGGAAACGGGGACTTCGGGGGGCTTGGAGGAGCTGGGGGAACATGGGCGTGGGGACAGGGGTGGGGACACAGGGACACGGCACAGACTGGGGACACGGGGACATCAGGGGGGCTTTGAGGGACATGGTTGTGGGGACAGGGATGGGGACAGTCAGGCAGGGACTGGGGACATTGGGACATTGGGGGGGCTTTGAGGAGCTGGGGGGACATGGGCATGGGGACAGGGATGGGGACACAGGGACACGACAGGGGATAGGGGGACCCAGTGGGGACACGGCAGGTGCACGCTGAGACACAGTGAGGGGACACGGGGAGGACCTGAGGGCACGGAGGGGACACAACAGGGTTGGAGTGGGGACAGAGGAGACAGGGATGGGAGATGGCCAGGAGGACACGGGGACATGGCTGGGAGAGTGTGGGGACATGGGAGGGGGACATGGGAGGACAGTGACATGGGGAATAATGGGGTTGGGGACAGGATAGGGACACACTGGGGACATACTGGGGACACGGGGGTCAGGTTGGGGACACACTGGGAACGGGTTGGGGACACACTGAGGACATGCTCCTCACCTCCACAGCCCTGGTGAACTGCAGGTGGCACATGAGGATGGTGACCAGCTCCCCCGGGGTCATGGTCCCTGAAGCCACCAAGTGTCCCCCCCCGAGGAGCAGCCCCAGCTTCAGGACCAGTGTGGGGAACTAGAGACATGGGGACACACAGGGTCACAGGGTGTCACCCCAGCCCCGTGTCCCTGTGCCCCCAGTCCCATGCCACCACGTCCCTGTGTCCTCAGCCCCTGTCACCATGTCCCTGTGTCCCCAGCCCCCTGTCACCACATCTCCCATCCCTGGGCCACCCACCCCTGTGTCCCCATGTCCTCTGTCTCCATAACCCCCTGTTCCCATGTCCCCCATCCCCCTGTTACTTCAGTCTCATGTCCCCTGTCCCCCATGTCCCTCAGCCCCCTGCCACATGTCCGCCATCCCTGTGCCCCCTTTCCCTGTGTTCCCTGTCCCCGTGTCTCCATCCCCATGCCACCGCATCCAGTGTCCCCCAGCTCCCTGCTGCCACGTCCCCCTGTCCCCTGTTACAATGCCACCCTGTCCCCATGACTCCCAGCCCCACATGCCACCCGTTGTCACGTCCCTTGTCTCTGGATCACCACGCCCTCGTGTCCCCCGGTCCTTTGCCGACACACCCAATGTCCCCACCCCCGGGTCAGCCTGCCTCGTGTCCCACATCCCTCTGCCACCAAATCCTCCGTTTCCAGACCGCTGGTCCCCATCCCCCTGTGCCCCCCGTCCCCGTGCCCCTTCCCATGTGTCCCCATCCCCTGTGCCCCCCATCCCCAGGCCCCCTGCCACCCTGTCCCAACCCCTGTGTCCCTCCCCCACCCCCACATCCTCCACTTGTGCATCCCCCATCCCCGTGTACCCCACCCCTCTGCCACCCTGTCCTCACCCCTAAGTCCCTTCCCTCACCTCCACGTCCCCCATCCCCATGTCCCCATTCCTCTGCCACCAAGTCCTCCACTTCCAGACTGCTGGTTCCCAACCCCCCCGTGCCTCCCATCCCCATGTGTCCCCCCCGTGTCCCCGTACCCCGCTGGCCCAACGTGCCACCCCGTATGCCAGGGCCTCTCTGCTCTCCAGGTGGTGACCATGGCTCAGGCGCTGCCGGACACGGGCGGTCACTCCGGCCTCGTGGCCGAAGGCCCGGACAGTCCCCAGGGCCCCCAGCGACTCCAGGGCCACTGCGGTGGCACCGGCCAGAGCCTCCTGTGCCCCCCGCGCCAGCTCCTGGGGACACGGGGTCACCACAGGGGTCACCACAGGGAGTTACCACAGGGGGGACACAGGGGGGACACAGGGGGCAGAGGGGCCACCACAGGGTCACAGGGGGGGTCACAGAGAGCACACGGGGGTTACACGGGAGTCACTGCAGGGTCACCACGTGGGATCATTGGGGGGGTCACCCTGGGGACAGGGAAGTCACCTCGAGGTCACCACACGCGCTGATGGGAGGCAGGGAGGGCACAGGGGACAGGAGAGGGTGACAGTGGGCGCAGGGAGGTGACAGTAGGCACCAGGAGGGGACACGAGGGACTCGGACAGGACCCGGGGAGGGGACAAGCAGCTTTGGGAGGTGACATGGGGCACACAGCGCAGGGAGGTGACCAGGGGTGCAGGGGAGGGGACAAGGGGCCCAGGGAGGTGACCAGGGGTGCAGAGGAGGGGACAAGGGGCCTAGGGAGGTGACATGGGCTGCGAGGAGAGGACAAGAAGAATGACCGGGGAAGGGGGGGGAGGGCAGGGACAAAAGTACAGAGTTACAGAGGGAAGTGACAAAAAGGCTCGGGGGAAGCACTGAGGGGAAGCCTGGCAAGGACAGGGGGTGTAGGAAGGTGGCACTGAGCACACAGGGGTGACAAGAGGACCCCCCCCCGGTACCTGCTGGGTGGCGGCCACGCGGCGCGGCAGCAGCAGGAGCAGGGGCAGCAGCAGGAGGGTGCCCAGGGCCAGCAGCGGGGCCAGCGAGCCCATCACGGCCAGCAGAGCCCCTGCCCGGGCCAGCGCCCACAGCGCCGGCACCAGCTCGTCGGCCAGAGCCCCATGGGCCGCCGCCGCATCCCCCGTCACCCGCGCTGCCACCGCGGCCGGAGTGTCCCCCAGGACGCCCCCCAGGCCGGTCACGTCCCCTCGCAGAACCGCGGCTACCGCGCCGCGCTGGAGCCGCCCCCGAGCCCGGGTCAGCGCCGCGGCCGCCGCTCCGTCACAGCCCAGCTCGGCCAGGGCGCTGCGGGGACAGCGCGGGGTCAGCGGGCACCGCCACCTCCGGGGATGTCCCCTCCCTGGTCCTATTGTCACCCACCTGCCGAGCCCCAGCGCCACCAAGGGCCACACGGCCGCCCACGCGTCCTCCTCCCGCATCACCCGGTCAGCGACGTGGCCCGTGAAGTAGGGGCCGGCCACCTCACCTGTAGGGAGGGGACACCCCCAGGGTGGGTGGGGACACCCCCAGGCTGGGTGGGGACAGCCCCCGGCGTGGAGCCGTGCCCCACTTTTTGGGTACCGACCACGCTCAAAATGGGCGGTTCAGCCCCGAAATTGGGTGCTGACCCCCTCTGTTGTGGGCTAAGATCCCAAACTTGGGTGTTGACCCCTGAAAACTGGGTGTTGACCCCTGAAAATTGGGTGCTGACCCCCTTCGTTGAGGGCTAAGACCCAAAATTTGGTTTCCCAGACTCCATTTTGGGAGTTCAACCCCCAAATTTGGGTGTTGACCCCTGAAAATCGGGTGCTGATCCCGCTCTGTTGTGGGCTAAGACCCCAAACTTGGAAGCTGAACTCCCAAAATGGGGTCTGGGAAACCCAAATTTGGGTGCTGACCCCTGAAAATTGGGTGCTGATCCCCCATATTGTGTAATGACCCCCCCAAATTGGGTCCTGCACACCTAAAATTGTCTGTAGACCCCTGAAAATTGGGTGTTGAGCCACTAAATTGGGTCTGACTCTCTAAAATTGGGTGTCACTCCCCCAGACTGGGTCCTGACCCTTGAAAATTTGCTCCCAACCTGCCAAAATTGTCTCCAAAATGGGTCCTGACCAGCCAAAAATGTGTTCTGACCCCCCCCCCAAATTGGTTTCTGGTCCCCCAAAATCGGGCCCTGCCTCTCCAAATCGGGCCCTGTCACCCCCCTAGAGTGGTCCTGCTCCCCACAGATTGGGTCCTGACACCCCCAAATTGAGTCTTGACCCCCTGGTTGGGTCCTGCCCCCTCAAACTGGGTCCTGCTCCCCCCAGTCTGCTCCTGTCCCCCCCCGGTCAGGTTCTGTTCCCCCCCAAATTGGCTCCTGCCGCCCCAAATCAGGCCCTGCCCTTCCTAAATCGGGTCCTGGCCCTCCCCAGTCATGTCCTTCCCTCCCCCAATCGGCCCTGCCCCCCCAAATTGGGTCTTTCCCCTCCCAGTGGGGTCCTACCCCCCCAAATTGGGTCTTTTACCCCCACTGGGGGGTCCTGCCCCTCCCAGGGAGGTCCTGACACTCCCTCAGTCGGGTTCTGCCGCACTAAAAGTGGGTCCTGCCCCCCCAATCGGGCCCTGCCCCCCTCAAATTGAGCCCTGACCCCCAAATCAAGTCCTGCCAACCCCCCGAGCCGGGGTCCCCCCATACCGAGGGCCGCGGCCGCCATTAGCACCCCCACGAGCGCCCACCGCCCGCGCTCGGGGAGCAGCAGGGCCAGGAGCCGCCGGCTGGCGGGGGACAACATCGCGGGGGGGGCCCGGTCCGGTCCCGGGGGGTCCTGGTTCTGCTTTCGGTGGGTCCTGGTGGGTCCCGGGGGGTCCTGGTTCTGCTTTCAGTGGGTCCTGGTAGGTCCCGGTGGGTCCCGGTCCCCTCCCGGTGGGTCCCGGGGGTCCTGGTTCTCTTCCCCGTGAGTCCCGGTGGGTCTCGGTGGGTCCTGGTTCTGCTTTCAGTGGGTCCTGGTGGGTCCCAGTGGGTCCCGGTCGGTCCCGGTTCTGCTTTCAGTGGGTTTCCGTGGTCCTGGTTCTGCTTTCGGTGGGTTTCCGTGGGTCCTGGTAGGTCCTGGTCCCCTCCCGGTGGCTCCCGGTGGGCCCCGATTCAGCTCCCGGTGGGTCCCTGGGGATCCCGGTCCCGCTCCCGGCAGGTCCCGGTCCCGGTTGCGGTGTATCCCGATGAGTGCCGGTGTATCCCGGTGTATCTCGGTGTTTCCCGGTGTATCTCGGTGTTTCCCGGTGTATCCCGCCGGTTCCTCCCGCTCCTTTCCCGGCAGCCGCCACCGTTTCCCGGAAAGCCGAAGGCTCCGCCCCGGGAATCCCCGGGAATCCCAGGCTGGCCCCGCCCACAGCCCTCCACTGCGGCGCTGACTGGTCAATGTTTTATGACGTCATCGGTTACCGGGCAGAGGAAGCCCGAGCAGGTTGTGAAATGGGGGGGGGGGACAAAAAAGGGGGCGGGGTCTGGGCGGGGCCAGGGCGGAACGAGGCGGGGCCAGGGCGGGAGTGGGCGTGGCCTGGGGAGAACGGAGCGTTCTGGGAGCCTGAACTGGGAGCACTGGTGGGGACTGCGGAGCTGGTACAGCTGGACTGGGAGCACTGGTGTGGACTGGTGAGCTGAGGGAGCTGTACTGGGAGCACTGGTGTGGATTGGTGAGCTGAGGGAGCTGTACTGGGAGCAGTGGTGCAGACTGGTGAGCTCAGGGGGCTGGACTGGGAGCACTGGTGTGGACTGGGGAGCACCCCGTTCTGGACTGGGAGCACTGGTGTGGACTGGGGAGCACCCCGTTCTGAACTGGGAGGACTGGTGCAGACTGGGGAGCTCCGGGAGCCATACTGGGAGCACTGGTGTGGACTGGGGAGCTCAGGGGGCTGGACTGGGAGCACTGGTGTGGACTGGTGAGCTCAGGGGGCTGGACTGGGAGCACTGGTGTGGACTGGTGAGCTCAGGGAGCTGGACTGGGAGCACTGGTGTGGACTGGGGAGCTGAGGGACTGGACTGGGAGCGCTGATTTCTACTCATGAGCAATCTGTACTGGGAGCACTGGTGTAGACTGGTCAGCTCAGGAGGCTTTACTGGGAGCAGCACTGGTGTGGACTGGGGAGTGCCCCAGTCTAAACTGGGAGCACTGGTGGGGACCGGGGAGTATTTCAGGCTGTACTGGGAGCACTGGTGTGGACTGATGAGCTGAGGGGGCTGGACTGGGAGCACTGGTGTGGACTGGTGAGCTCAGGGAGCTGGACTGGGAGCACTGGTGTGGACTGGGGAGTGGCCCAGTCTGAACTGGGAGCACTGGTGTGGACTGGGGAGCACCCAAATCCTAACTGGTGTTAACTGGTGAGTTCACAGGGTGCTGAACCCCAGCACAGGAGCCACACTGGGACCCCCACTGGGAGCCATATTGGGAGCCCCACTGGGAGCCGTACTGGGAGCCTGACCAGAAGCTGTACTGGGACCCCCACTGGGAGCTGTACTGGGAACCGTACCGTGAGCCCAACCAGGAGACATACTGGGAGCTGTACTGGGAGCCCCACGAGGATCCACACCAGGAGCTGTACTGGGAGCCGTACTGGGAGCCACACCAGGACCACACCAGGAGCCGTACTGGGAGCTGTACTGGGAGCCACACCAGGAGCCGTACTGGGAGCTGTACTGGGAGCCTGACCAGGAGCTGTACCGGGAGCCCGACCAGGAGCTGTACTGGGAGCCATACTGGGACTCATACTGGGAGCACTGGTCCTTACCAATCCCCCCATGGCACTGCCTCCATCCCTGCTGCTCCCAGGGGTGCTGCTGGCGGCCGACGCCCTGGCCCTGTCCTTACTGGGCCCGCTGGTGCCGGCGCTGGCACAGCTGGGCCTGGCGGGCGTGTGGCTCGAGGCCGCCCTGCGCCTGCCCCTCCTGGCCGCAGCCCCCCGGCTCCTATCCCCTCTCTGTCCCCCCGGGGCCACCACCACGGCCGCCGTGGCCACCATCGCCGTCACCCCTGCAGCCTTCGTGGCCCTGCGGAGCCTCCTGGGCCTGCCCGGCACTGGGCCCGGCCTCTTGGCAGCCGCGGCGCCCGCCTGGCTCGGGGTCACCCACGCGGCTGCCACGCTGGCCCTGCTGGCCTGGGATGCCCCCCGCTCCCTGGGTGGTGTCCCCAAAGCTCCCGGGGGTGTCCCCAAGGTTCCCGGAGGCGTCTGGAGGGTCCTGGTGCTGGCCTGCTCCGAGTGGAAAGTCCTGGGAGCTGCCTTCCTGTGCCTCGTGGTGGCGGCTGCCGGTGGGTGACTGGCACAGGGAGGGCGATGGACCCCCCGTTAACCGAGTCTTGCAGCCCCAGAGTGGGTGCACAGCCCCTAAATTTGGTGTTGAACCCACCCAGGTTTGGGGCTGACCCTCCCCCACTGGAATTGGGGTGGTGAGTGGCCTGGAATTCTGGGAGCTGCTTACCCCCCCCGAAAAAAAAATTGGATCCCCAACCTCCAAACTTGGGTGTTGATTGCCCCTAAATTGGGTGCTGAGTCCTAAAAGTGGGTGCTGGCCATCCCAAAATTGGGTGCTGACCATCCCAAAATTGGCTGCTGAGCCCCCCTTACGTTGGGAACCAATCACCTGAAAATTGGATGGTGACCCACCCCATAACTGGGTGCTGACACTACCCAAAAATTGTGTCCTGACCCATCAAACTCGGGTGTTAACCCCCAAAAAATTTGGGGGTCTGATGCCCAAAAATGGGCATTGACTCCCAAGAAATTGGGTCCTGATCCCCCATATTTGGATCCTGACTCCCCATATTTGGATTCCGACCCCTAAAATTTGAGTGCTAAACTCCCAAAATTGGGTGCTGACCCCCCCATATTTGGGTCCTGTTCCCCTCATATTTGCATCCTGACCCCGCATATTTGGGTCCTGACCTCCCATATTTGGGTCCCGATTTTTTGGAGGTTTTTATTTGGTTTTGTGAAATCAGCCCTGAAAGCAAACCCCCAGGGCAGAGTTACTGCACCAGCAGCCTCTAAAAAGGGGGCTGGGGATCCTCCTCGGGGGTCTGGGCACTAAGAGGAGCTGGAAATGGCTGGAAAGCAACAGGGAAAAAAACCTGGAGCATTGCAAAGAGCAAAGAGACCAAGAGCCAGAGCTGGTGCCCAGCACGGGGGCAGGATGATGCCCACAGTCCCTTCCTGGGCAGTTAGAGAGAACACACCGCTTTTATTCTGTTTTTATCCCAAAAGTTGGTGCCCAGGCCCTCCAGCTGCCCCCTGGGGCATAGTGATCCAGCTCCAGCAGCTCCCTGGCTGGAGAGGAGGATGATGGTGGGAAAAGGGGCTTGAGCAGCTCCCTGGAGCTGAGGGAGTAGCTCAGCAAAGGCACAAGTTTGGCTGCCCAGCCCAGCCAGGACATCCATGGGTGCCTGGTCCTGGTCCAGACAGAATTTGGGAGCCACTGGGTGTTTCAAGTCCCAACCCTTCCCTCCCCTCATCCCAACCAGAAAGAGACTCAGGGCGCTCCTGTGTTTTTCATTAGAAAACCCTTTATATTCATTTCATGTCGGTTGAAATCACAAGAAATTAGGTAGGAGGGCAAAAACCAAACCAAACAAAACAAAATAAACAATCAGAAAAACAAAAACAAACCTCCAACAAAACAAAAATCGTAAATAAAAGGGGGAGACAACACAGACACCAGCACAGCCCCCGCGGGCTGGTGCCGCCGCAGACACGGGACAAGACCAAGGACATCGGCTACGTGTGACTTAGTGAAGTGACTCCAGCAGGGGACGAGGCAGAGGCTGGTCTCCCTTCCCAGCCTCTCCTCCTCCCTCCTTTTCCTCCTCCTGCCCAGGTGGAGCTGTTTCAGCTCTCTCCTCCGCATCATCCGCAGCCTCCGCTCCGCCCGGCTCGCCGGCCTGGGATAGTCCTGCACGCTGCTGAGGCAGATAAATCCCACATCCCAGTTCCTTCCCAGGCTGGGAAAAACCCTGAGATAGCCCCCAGACTCCCTGGGAAGAGCCCAGTGGGTCACAGGCACTCCAGCCCCACACTCACTTGCTGTGGGGCCTCGGACGCCTCCGGCTCAGCAGCCCTGGCCCTTGGCTTTTGTCCTTCTCCTCTGTGCCCTCGGATTTTTGGACAGGATTCCGGACGCTGGGCACGGCGCGGTGCCCCCAGCCCGCAGCCCCTCGGCCCGTCAGGGGCACCCTGGGGGGCTTCTGTGGGTGCTGCCACCCGCCCTGGGGGACACCTGAGCCGGGGGTGCCACCGGGGTGCGTTGGTTGTGGAGATGGAACGTGGTGAACATTTGGGGTGCGGGGGGGTTGGGGGCCCCCCAGGCGTGTGTGTGTTATCCGGGGATGGGGCGCTCTCAGCCCCCAGTCCGGGGTCAACCCCTGCCCGGTGCCAGCTTAGGGGGTGTTTATCCATCCCCCCCATCCAGCACCCCCTCCTGGAAAGCACAGCCGGGACAGGGGGGGCACCACTGGGGTTGGGGGGGGTCCCCACCGAACCCACTCTCTGCTGGCAAAGGGTGCCCTTTCGGTGCCACCCCTGCCTGGCACCCACCCGGGGTGGCGGGTCGCGGGGGGGGTGGCAGGTCCCCGGGGCGGGGTGGCAGGTCCCCAGGGGGTGGCAGGCTGTAAATAGGGCGGGGGGCGGCGGGAGCCTCCCCCTTCCCCCGCGGCCATGCATGCGGCCGCCCGCGGGCTGTTCCCGCGGCCCCAATAAACACCCGGTTACCGGAGGCGACTCCCCCGCCGCCGCCTTGGCGACTTTTTACATCCCCCCGACCCCCCCGGGACCCGGGATCGGCTGGCAGTGGGGGCACAGGGTTGGGGGGACACAGATTGGGGGGTCCTGTTGGCTCACCCCCCCCCCCTTGGGCACACGCACCCTGAGGGGCTCTGGTGGCACGGGGACATGTGGGGTGGGGACATCTGGCGAAGGGACAGATGCCACGGGGACACTTGGCATTGAGATATTTGGTGTGGGGACACCTGGCGTTGGGTTCCTTGGGGTGGGGACACCAATCTTTGGGTGCCCGGGGGGGGGGATGACACCTGGCATGGGGACACCTTGCACTGGGGTGCCCTGGGGGGAGCACATCTGGAAACACCAAGGGGGGAGGACACCCGGGGTGGGGACACCAGGGGTGGGGACACCTGGAGAGGGTGGGAACACCGGCTACTGGGTCTCTTGAGGTGGGGACACGTGGCAAGGGAGTGGGGACACTTGGAGAGGGGGGAACACTGGCCATTGAGTCCCTAAAGGTGAGGACACGTGCCAAGGGGACACCTGGGGATGGGGACACCTGGAGAGGGTGGGCATTGGGTCCCTCAGCGTGGGGACACGTGGCAAGGTGACCCCTGTCCCCCGGGGGTCCCCGTCGGTGTCCCCGGAGCCACCCGGGCCCGATCGCGACACGCGTGTCGGGACAGAGCCCTGGCCCCGCCCATTGTCCCACCCCTTCCTTCTCATTGGTGGAGACGCAGCCCCGCCCCGCCGCTGATTGGCCAACCGTGCTCGCGCTGGGCGGGGCCCGGGGGTCGCGATCGCTATCGGGGGTCGCGACAGAACCCAACCCCCACCCCCCGTGAGTACCGAGCCCGGGGCTTGGCGGGAGTTGGAGGGTGGCAAGCAGGGCCAGAGGCGCCCCAGGGGGGGTTCCAGAGGGGGTCTGGGGGGTCCCGGGTGGAGTTCGAGCGTCCCGGGGGAGGTCGGGGGTCCCCAACAGCCCCCAGGAACCCGAGGGGACACCCCAAGAAACTCAAGGGGACGTCCCCGCAGAGATCTACCTGAAACCCCCCCCGAAACCCCCCAGAACTTGACTCCGGGGTGCACAAGGGCCGAGCCGGGGAGGGGGGACAGAGGGACACCCCAAAGGGCAGAGGGGCTGCCGGGGGGCGAGGGGGGGGCCGCTCTGCTCCCCGCGGGGGTCGTGGGGCTGCCCGGGCCGAGGGGACGGTGACGGGCGGCACGTCCCCAGCGCGGGATTGCGACAGACGAACCCTGCCTGGCTTCCTCTGAATCACCCCAGCCACCCCTCCCCGGCCCCCAAAGGGGCGGCGGGGCGGACCCAGGTGGGGATGGGGGGACTCGTGAGGGGTTGAGGGGACCCAACCCCGCGGCATCCCAGCAGGGCAGGAGGCCAATCCCACCCCCAAACTCCTTCCAGCTCCCCCCATGACACCTCACAGGCTGCTCAGAGGCCGCCAGCATCTCCCACTCATGTCATGAGCTGGGGGGTCTCAGCCCTCAGCTAACAGGAGCTGGGGGGGGGTGGTCCTGGGGGTCTCAGCTCCCCTGAGGGTCCCCACTGCGCTCACCCACCCACGACACCCCAATATCTCTCCCCACAGCCGCCGTGGCCATGTCGGCCGAAAACGCCGAGGAACCGGCACGGGATGGGCCGGAGGTGAAGGTAAGGGGGGAGCATGGGGGGCTTTGAGGGGCTGCAGGTGCCTCTGGGGACCCCCTCCCACCGCCAGCCCACCCTGCAGAGCGTGGTGAGCCGCGTGGCCGCCCTGCCCCTGGTGAGCGGTGCCTGCGGGGCCGTGGCCGCCGCGTACGGGAGCACCAAGGAGCGGCACCCCCGCGTCCGCTCCGTCTGCGATGCTGCCGAGAAGGGGGTGAAGACGCTGATGACGGTGACCCAGCCCCTCCTCACCCAGCTGGAGCCACAGAGTGAGTGTGGGGGCGAAGGGACATCACCCCACGGGGGTGGGGAGCCCCCCAAAACTCGCTCTGGCAGAGCTCCAGTGAAGCGGCAGCAGAGGGGGGATCTGGGTTTGGGTGTCAGGGTTATGTGGCTGAGGAATGAAGGGATGGAGAAGCTGGAGGAGAAGATGGAGGGGAAACAAGCCCAGAGTTTTGGGGTCCCCCAGGAACTGGCTCTCACAGAGCTCCTGCAGGGCAGCAGGAGAGGAATAACCTGGTTTCGTGCCTCTGGCTCCCACTGCCACCAAATGTGCCTGCAAAGGGCTGGAGAGGCTGGAGGAGCAGCTGGGAGGGGGGAGCAGCACCCTATGGGTTCTGGGGTACCCAAAAACCAGCTCTTGCAAGGCAGCAGGAGAGGAATCATCATCTGATTTCACATCCAGTTAATGAATGTGGAACATTCATACCACCAGGGAATGAAAGGCCAGAGAAGCTGGACAAGCAGATGGGAGGGAAAACACCCCACGAGTTTTTGGGGTAGCCCAAAAGCCGTCCCCAGCAGAGCTCCTGCTCAGGGCAGCAGGATATTAACCCACCTCTTTTCATGTCCCCAGTCTCCACTGCCAACGAATTCGCCTGCAAAGGGCTGGACAAGCTGGAGGAGAAGCTGCCCATCCTGCAGCAACCCCCTGAGAGGGTAACGACCCCCTGAAGGGCAAGGGGGGGTGTCCAGTGCTGGGGCCACTGAAGGGGAAGGCTGCCCTGCGCTGTCCCCTCACAGGTGGTGGCTGGAACCAGGGAGCTGGTGAGCGGGGCGGTGACCAGGACGCTCAGCAGCGTGGTGGGCACCCCCATGGGGCGGCTGCTGCTCACGGGGGCGGACAGGGTGCTGGGGAAATCGGAGCAGCTGGTGGACAGGTACCTTCCCAGGACGGAGGAGGAGCTGGGTGAGTGCCCACCGTGCTGTCACAGGCACCATCTCCCGAATTGGGGGGGTGCAAACCCTTCCTGGGCTCCCCTTGGCCGTGCTCAGCCCCCCGTGGCGGTGCCAGGGCAGCGTGGTCGCCGTGACACTGGGCAGGGGACAGTCCCCACCCAGGGCACTGGTGAACTCTCACCTGGAAACCCCAGGCAAATATAGTCCTGTGCTGCCCTGCCTGCCTGGGTATTTATAGCTTGGCACAGGGTGGCAGAGCTGGCCCTGTGTCACAAAGGTGACCGCAGGGGCCGCCGGGCTTTGTGGTGGCACCTCCAATGTGACCTGGTGGCCAAGCATCCCGTGGGTGGGCACCCCTGTGCATGGAGCTCGGGGGGGATCGTCCCAGTGCCTGGTGTGGGGTGGATGCAGTGCCAGGTGTGGGGTGGATGCAGTGCCGGGTGTGGGGTGGATGCAGTGCCGGGTGTGGGGTGGATGCAGTGCCAGGTGTGGGGTGGATGCAGTGCCAGGTGTGGGGTGGATGCAGTGCTGGGTGTGGGGTGGATGCAGTGCCGGGTGTGGGGTGGATGCAGTGCCTGGCACAGGATGGTCCATCCACGCCGTCCTCACCCCTGGTCCTGCAGCAGCCACAACGGGTGCACAGGGGGCCCCGGGCACGGAGGTGGGCACAGCAAGCCCAGAGGTGGCCCCAGGCACAGAGGTGGCCCCAGCAGGTCCGGAGGTGGCCCCACCAGAGCGGCAGAGGCGGTGGCAGAGCTGCTTCATCCGCGTGGGCTCCCTGTCGGCCCAGCTGCGGCACCGGGCCCTGCGGCGCTCGCTGGGCGAGCTGCGGCGGGCCCGGCACAGCGCCCAGCAGCTGCTGGCACAGCTCCACCACCTCATCCAGCTGGTAAGGAGGCGGCACACGGGAAGCCCCGGGCTGGCCCCACACTCCCAGGTGTGCTCCCACCTGGCTGAACGTCCCCCCAGATCGAGGAGGGGCAGCAGGGCACCGACGGGCCCCGGCGCGGCACCCGCCAGCGTCTCCACCGCCTGTGGCTGGAGTGGAGCCAGCAGGAGGCTGTGCCCATGGAGGAGAGCCAGGTACGGGGTGGGGGCACCTTGGGGGCATCCTGGGGATGGGGTGGGGGGGCTGTGTCCATGGAGGACACCAAGGAGTGGGACAGGGGACCGTGGCCATGGGGGACACGCAGATAGGGGTGGGGGGCTGTGGTCATGTAGGACACCATGGCATGGGGTGGGGGGCTGTGGTCATGGAGAACACCAAAGAATTGGGGTGGGGGGCCGTGCCCATGGAGGAGATCAAGGTACAGGGCAGGGGTACCCAGGGAAGACACTGAGAATGGGGTGGGGGCATGTACTGTGGTCTTGGAAGTGAGGTATGGGGTGAGGGGCCGTGACTGTGGAGGACACCAAGATACAGGTTGGGGGAGACCAAAGGATGGGATGGGGTGGGGGCTACACCCAAGGAGGACACCAAGGCCTGGAGCCCCTCTGGAGCCCCCTGTGCCCGCCGGTGCCCCGCAGGTGGAGGCTCGGGCCCTGGCCATGCTCCAGGGGCTCCTGCAGCAGCTCCAGGGCGCCTGTGCCCGCCTGGCCTCGGGCGCCCGGGCCTTCCCCAGCAGCGTGCAGGAGACGGCGGGGCACGTCCGGCACGGCGTGGAGGGCGTCCAGGCCGCCCTGGCCCGCGCCCGCTCCTTCCACGACCTGTCGGAGCTGGTGCTGGCGCAGAGCCGGGACGGGGTGGCGCGGGCGCAGCTGGGCATCGACGAGCTGCTGGAGCACGTGGGGCAGCACACGCCCCTGCCCTGGCTCGTGGGACCCTTCGCCCCGGTGCTGGTGGAGTACCCCGAGGACGCCCCGCTGGAGATGGCCAAGTGGGAGGGCTGCGACACCGTCGGGGGCACGCACCGGGCGTCACCGCCGGTGTGCGGCCAGCACTGAGCCACGGGAGCGCCCACCCACCCACCCACCCACACGGCTGGGAACCCTGCCCCCAGTGGGGTCAGGGGGATGATGGACTCGGTGACCCAGCGTGGGACCCCGATGTCGCTGCCAGGGACTCGTGTGGGGACAGTGGCACGTGGAGGACACAGCGTGGACCCCTCCCCGCGGCGTCCCCAGGCCCCAGGAGTGTTGGGATTTTGTGCCTTAACAGCTTCAAACCAGGTTTAAAGAGGAAGAAAACAACTTTTTTTGGGCCTTCAAATGACTCAGAGCTTGTTGTGGGGCTTTGGGCCCACCCGAGGGGGGGGCTCAGCACGGGCAGCAGAGCAGGGGGCACCTCCAGGGAGGGTCCCAGCGGAGGGTGGGAGAGCAGGGGTGGGTGCCAGCGTGGTGCTGGGAATGAGGGTGCCACAGGATGCCACCTGGACTGTGCCCCGCAGCCGTGTGGCACTGAACTTTGTCCCCGCTGTCACCACGGAGGGGTGTCCCCGACATCACAGGCACGGCACCCAGTGGGTGACACCGAGCGCTCCGTCACTGTCCACCCTCCTGCCACCAGCACCCACTGGGACCAGTCTGACCATCTCCACTGGGCCAGGTGGGTGAGGAGCACCGGGACCCCCCTCCTGGGGGATCCACATGAGGGGAAGGGGGCTGTGGAGGGGTCGGGGTGTGGTTTGTCCTGGGGGCTCGGTGCCAGGGAGGGTCGGTGGGGGGGATCCATCTGGCTCTGGGTGGGGGTGTCAGTGCAGCCTGGTCCTGGGGAATGGGGGCCGGGGGGTCGCCGTAGACCAGTCTGGGGGAGTCCCGGCCCTGAGGGGGTGTCGGTGCAGCCCATTCCCGGGGGATCCGGGACCGGGGCGGGGGGGTCAGTGCAGCACAGACCGAGGGATCGTGTCCGGGGGGGGTCAGTGCAGCCCAGTCCCGGTGCTGGGAGGGGGACTCGGTTCTGGGGGGGCTACAGCCAGGCCCCGCGGGGATGCTAATCCCGGTCCCGGGGGGATCCTAATCCCGATCGCGGGGAAATCCCAGTCCCGAGGAGATCCCAGCCGCGGTCCCGGGGGTTTTTCGCGGTCGCGGCCCCTCCGGTCGGTGCTCCCGGTGCGCCCCGGGCCGGCCCCGCGGGGCGGCTCCGGTCACATGCGCTCGGGGCCGGGCTCCGGGGGTATAAAGGGCGCTGGGGAGGAGCGGGGCGAGCCCAGAGCCACAACCGAGCCGAGCGGAGCCGAACCCACCGGAGCCACCAGCGGTGAGCCCGATCCATATCCCCGTTCCGGTCCCGATCCCGATTGCGATCCCATTTGCGATCGCAATCCCGGTTCCGCTTTCGACTGCGATCCCGATCGTGCTCCCGGTCGCGATCCCGGTCCCGGTCGCGATCCCGGTGCCGATCCCGGTGCTGGTCCCTGGGACCCCCCTGTCCCGGGTTTTCCCAAGCGCGTGGGAGCTGCCCCGGCCCGTGGAGTGGGAAACTTTGGGCCCCCCATCCGGGGTGTTTGATGGGAGGGGAGTGTTGGGAGGGGGTGTCTGACGCCACTCACGGTCCTGTCCCGTCCCCCCCAGCCCCGCCATGGCCACCCCCGAGCCCGCGACGGCGCAGCCCAAGGCGGAGGAGCAGCAGGTCAGTGGGGGAAAGGGGGCTGGCTGGGGGAGGGGGCTCATCCCAAAACATGTCCTGTCCTGTCCTGCTTGGGGACGGGGCTCTGCTTTGTCCCTTCGAAAGGCTGGGAGAGCCCTGGGAGCACCCCAAAACCATCCCTGAGGGGAGGTGGGGACACAGAGTACGCCCCTTCCCCGGGGAGATTTGGGGATCCATCCCTTTCCCCCGCGCTCCCCCTGACTCCACCCACGCTCCGCAGAGCATCGGGACGCGCGTGGCCAGCCTGCCCCTGGTGAGCTCTGCCTACGACATGGTGTCCAGCGCCTACAGCTCCACCAAGGAGAGCCACCCCTACGTCCGCTCGGTCTGCGACGCCGCCGAGAAGGGGGTGAAGACGCTGACGGCGGCGGCCGTGAGCGGGGCCCAGCCCCTCCTCACCCGGCTGGAGCCACAGAGTGAGTGTGGGGGCGAAGGGACGTCACCCCACGGGCGTGGGGAGCGCCCCAAAACTCGCTCTGGCAGAGCTCCAGTGAGGCAGCAGCAGAGGGGTGACCTGGGTTTGTGTGTCAGAGTTGGAGAAAGGGGTGGAGCAGCAACCCCCTGAGTTTTGGGGTGATGGAAAACCGGGTCTCACAAAGCTCCTGCAGGGCAGCAGGAGCGGGAAAAGCTGTTTTCTCGTTTCTGGTTCCTTTCACCAAAAATCACACCTGCAAAGGGCTGGAGAAGCTGGAGGAGGAGCTGGAGGAAGCAGCACCCCTTGGGGTGCCCAAAACCTGGCCCTGGCAGAGCTCCTGCAGGGCAGGAGGGCATTAACCCACCTCTTTTCACATCCCCAGTTTCCACCGCCAACGAATTCGCCTGCAAAGGGCTGGACAAGCTGGAGGAGAAGCTGCCCATCCTGCAGCAGCCCCCTGAGAAGGTACCAGGGGCGGGTGGGGTGTGGGCAAACACCCTGGGGTGCCCCCCAGCAGTGCCTGACGGAGGGCTGTGCGTGTGCCCTCGCAGCTCATCTCGGACACCAAGCTCCTGGTGACCTCCACGGTGACGGGGGCCCGGGACGTGCTGAGCAGCACCGTGGCCGGGGCCAGGGACGCGGTGACCAGCCGGGTGACGGGCGTGGTGGACATGACCAGGGGGGCCGTGCAGGGCGGCGTGGAGCTGACCAGGTCAGCGGTCAGCAGCGGGGTCAGCACCGTCATGGGCTCCTCCGTGGGCCAGATGGTGGCCAGCGGGGTGGGCTCCGTGCTGGAGAAGTCGGAGGAGCTGGTGGACCATTACCTGCCCATGACCAACGAGGAGCTGGGTGAGCAGCTGATCCCAAACCCCCGGAGATTTTGTGGGCTGAGGAGTGGGGAGGGTGGTGGAGGCTCTACAGGGAGGTGGTGGTGGTGGAGTCACCTCAGCAGCTCCTGTCCCACAGCCAAGCTGGCCACGGCCGTGGAGGGCTTCGAGCCGGAGCAGCAGAAGCAGCAGCAGAGCTACTTCGTGCGCCTGGGCTCCCTCTCCAGCAAGGTGCAGCACAGAGCCCTCCAGCACTCGCTGGGCAAGCTGCAGAGCGCCCGCCACAGCAGCCAGGAACTGCTGGCACAGCTCCAGGGTGCCCTCGACCTGGTAGGACCCATCCCTGTGCCCCCCCATCGTGTCACCCCAAGGTGTCCCCCACCCACCCTGGGCTCTCCTCTCTCTCCCAGGTGGAGCACCTGAAGCAGGGCGTGGACCAGAGGCTGCATGGAGGGCAGGAGAAGCTGCAGCAGATGTGGCTGGAGTGGAGCAAGAAGCAGCCGGGCGGTGCCAAGGACCCGGCGGCGGCACCGGAGGTAGGCACAGGGTTTTGGGGTGGGTCCCCCGGGGTGACCCGGGGCGCGTCCCCCACCCCTCACCGCTCCGCTTTTTTGGCAGACGGTGGAGTCTGGCGCTCTGGCCATGCTGCAGGGGCTGGCCCAGCAGCTGCAGAGCTCGTGCCAGCCCCTGCTGAGCAGCCTGCAGGGCCTGCCCGCGGGCGTGCAGGACACGGCGGGGCAGGTGCGGCACAGCGTGGAGGAGCTGCGGGCGGCCCTGGGCTCGGCCGCCTCCCTGCAGGACCTGACGGGCACGGTGCTGGCCCGGGCTCGCGGCCACGCCGCCACGGCCCGGCGGCTGCTGGACGAGCTGGTGGAGCGCGTGGCCTCCAGCACCCCCCTGACGTGGCTGGTGGGACCCTTCGCCCCCTCCGGCCAGCGCGCTGTGGAGGAGATGAAGTAGCAGCCTGCGGGTCCCCTCCCCGTCACACCCCCAAAGCCTCGTTAGGAGCGGCTACGAAACCCCCCCTGCCCGGCCCAGCTCGCCCCAACCTTAACTCCTTGTGGGACCTGCCTGCCCCACACCCACCCCACACGGCTCTGTCCCTTTGTCCCCTGCAGGAACGTGCCTTGGACCCCCCAAGTGCCTGTTAGGAGTCCCCTCCAGCCCCCCTGGAGGGGTCCCCCCTGCCCCCAGTGCCTTCAAGCCCCCGGTCCTGTAGGGTGAGAACAGCACAAGAAGCAATAAACTGGTTAGTTTTGCACCGGGCTGAGGTTTCTTTGGGAGTTGGGTTGGGTTGGTATCGGGGCTCTGGAGGAACAACCCTCACCCCAAGACTTGGGGACGCCCAATTCCAAAGGTAGGGAGCCCCCCCTGCACCGGTGGGACCCAGGGGTGGAGGAGAGGGGCTGGCAGTGGGACCAGGGCCTGGAAGGGCAGAGTCCCAGCCATCCTAGGGAGAGGATGCAGGGCAGGACCTGCTCACCCCACTGTGGGCAACAGGCTCTGTCCCCCCAGGCTGGGGTGTCACCCACCCCCAATATCAGTGTCCTGGGCACAGGCAGTGGGTCAGTGTTGGGGCTGAGTGTGGGGGCTGAGCTGGATGTGTTCCTTCCCCCCATACCCACCTCTAAACCCCCCTGAGCCAGGGGGATGTCCCACTGTTGGGTTCTGGGTTTTCCCACATCATTCCCACCCCAAGGATGGGACTGACCCTCTGGAAAACCTCCCTCCCCTCATCTCTCTGGCCTCTCCCTTCCAGCAGTTGGGCAAGAGGCACTCGGGGGTTTTTTTGGAGGTTTTTATTTGGGTTTTGTGAAATCAGCCCTGGAAAAAGCAAACCCCCCAGGGCAGAGTTACGGCACCAGCAGCCTCTAAAAAAGGGGGGCTGGGGATCCTCCCTCGGGGTCTGGGCACTAAGAGGAGCTGGAAATGGCTTTGTTGGACAGGGAAAAAAAAACTCTGGAGCATTGCAAAAGAGCAAAGAGACCAAGAGCCAGAGCTGGTGCCCAGCACGGGGCAGGATGATGCCCACAGTCCCTTCCTGGGGCAGTTAGGAGAGAACACACCGTTTTCATTCTGGTTTTATCCCAAAAGTTGGTGCCCAGCCCTCCAGCTGCCCCTG